TGAGAACAGCGATCTTACCGTCCTTCCTCCAGGAGATCTTGGGGAAGGGGACACCGTGACATTCACAGGACAGCCGGGCAGAGTGCCCCTCGGTCACAGTCAGGGCCTGGGGCTGCTCCAGGGGGAATGCTGGAGGCACTGGATTGGAGAGGAGCAGTGATGAGCCGGGCTGGGGGGCTCAGCCGAGGCACACCCAGCTCTGGGGGGCGGGGGGTGTGTGTGAAGGAGCCCGGCCCAGGAGTGCTCACCCCAGACGTCCAGGTTGTAGTGTTTCTCTGAGCGGCCCGCCCGGTTCAGGGCCTCGCAGGTGTAGTGGCCTGCATCCCTCACCTCCGCTCGGTCCACCTAGCCGAGGGGAAAAAGAGATGGGGCCATGCCCTGGACAGCCTGTGTGACCTGAGACCTGTCACTGTGCCTCTCTGGAACCCGGGCGGAGATAGCCCTGCCCAGGCCTCAGACACAAATGATCCAGATGGCAGTGCCTGCAGTGGCCTGACATGGGCCGGGCTGGCAACAGGGCTCCATGGAAACCAGACTGCCCTGCTGGTGGCCTTTCTGGAAAACCCAGGAGAAGTGATCAGAAAGGCAGCAGGGAAGGAGGTAAGTGTGGTGGGAGGCTCCTGCCCTCGGGGGTCAGCTCCTGGCCTATGGTGAGGGAGGCTCGGCTGTGGCTTTGAAGAGACGGACAAGGAGGGCGCAGGCATCCTGGCAGGATGCCGAAGCCAAACACACAGCACAGGTCCAGAGGGATCGGTGGCGTCGTGGGTTATGAGTTGAGCTGCTCCTGACAAAGGCAGCGGTTCAAAACCACCAGTTGCTCCTCAGGAGAAAGATGAGGCTGTCTGCTCCTGTAAAGAGCTAAACTCTCAGAATTAAACTCCGAGAACAGGGGCAGTTCGACCAAGCCCTAGAGGGTTGGAATGAACGTGATCGCAGTGAGAACTGAGTGAGAGACCTCGAGCGAGGGGGGACAGGCTGGGACGGAAGATTCTATCCACCCGCCGGAGAGATGGCTCCCCACCCTCCCCTCTGAGGCCACGTGGGCAAGTTGTTCTCTGGGACAGCTTGGAACCTCCTCATGGTGTCCTCCGGCCACCTTCTGGAAAAGGTGCCAGGGTGCTTGCGGGCACGGGACCTGAGGAGTCAGGTCAGTGCCTCGAGGCGCAGCAATGGAAGGCGAAGCTACCACTCAATACCCAGGACCTTCAGAGCCCTGACCCCAGGCGGCCCCAGGCCTGCTGGACCACAGGAAGGGACTGGTGCATGTGGCTGAGGAGGCTAGAGGAACCACCTGGGGCTGCTGATTGAGGAATGAAGGTGGAAGGAGGTGTCAGAAGCTGCTTAGCGCACGCACGGGGTGCTGGGGAGGCCATGAGGGAGACCCAGTCCTCAGTCCTGAGCCTCTGCTCTCCACCCATCCTCATTTGGAGCCAGCTCGGACAGGAGCTTCTGGGTCATGTCGGGCTGACCCAGTGCTTGTAGGGACTCGGCGGAGTCAGGCCTGACACCCCCAGCATCAGTGGTGGTGCTGTGTTGAGCACCCCCTGGAGCTCCCCCACCCCACCGCCCACCGTCCCCTCATTCCAGGAGAGGCCACACACCTCCAGCAGGGCCTTGTCTGCAGAGAGACGGACGCCAGGTCGGGGTTCCAGAGGGCCCCCATCTTTCCACCAGCTCAGCACAGGAGGGGGCGTGGCGTGGCTCCGGCACTCCAGGGCCACGGACTCGTTGGCCAATACTGACACGTTCAGCTCTTCTCCCAGGATGCTCGGGGGCACTATGGGGGTCACGGAGAAGAGATGAGCTGCTCAGGAAGGGGGTGGGTGGGGCGAGCGGGACAGGGGCTGCAGCCAGGGTCGGGCCGAGCCCTCTTTGAGGCTGCTGGAAGCAGCAAACACCAGGGGCTGGGGGAGTCGGCATGAAGATGGGGTCTGCCCCCTGAGCTGTAACCTTCTTGCCTACCCATCCCCTCCCGTCCTCTCCCCTCAGCTCTCTTCCCAGCCCTCCTTCAGCAAGAGGTCCCGAAGCTGAGTCACACGAGTGGATGGACAGCGGTCATGTCTCTCCGCCGGGTACGGTGTTACACCACACTTCTTGTGTGTCCCCGACAGCTTCACTGTGATCGAAGTTGCATGTGACACATTCCCACCGCCCAATGCTTCCTCCCTCTTCCAATATTCACCCCCCCCCCC